GTACAAAAAAGTGTGACGGTTGATTAGCTGGTTTGATCATCGTTAGGATCATTAAGGAATGCTTTAACAACTCTATATTAAAGAGGGGTCTTACAGTCTTAAATAAAGATGTTAGAAACATGGAAACTTTTATCTGGTATCATTCCAATAAGTTTATTATGATTGTGCTACATCAGCTCTATCTTGTGCTTACCAAACAAATAAGTTATTAATGCCCAAAAGCATATTATTTCTTTATCAAAAGGAACGGAATGAAAACTAACTCTTATAATTAATCACCATATCAATCAGTTCCCAACGAGATAAAAATGTGTGAAAATGGTTAGTAATGTTATTTTAAATTATATAATCCATAGAAATTATCATGATTTTAAAGCACAGCTATTTATATTTATTAATTTTTGTTTTTCACACATTGCGATCTCTTGTCATTATTTATCCATTTTTCATTGAATTACCACATGACTGGCAAAAGTTTTAAGTAATTTGAGTGGCTCATAAGCAAAAAAGATTTGATTAGAACTTGTTTGATCACAGGCGGCGGCTCGTTTGAGTTGGCTTTTTCGTGAAGAACTTTTATGGTCTTATAATTGTCTTATGCTTAAGAAAACCAGTATTATCAGTCGCATATGTAAACAAACTATTTTACGAGGGATTGCAACATGACAGAATGCTTTTCCCGACCATGAGAATGTAATTGGTTCTGTTAAAAAGGTGTGTTGAAAATATTTGCAGAAATTTATTTTAGTAAAAACATTATATTAAAATAGTTTCTGTTAATCTATGTTAATTACTTATTATTTTTAGTATTTAATTGAGTGCAATGCTTTAAACTCATGTAACATATAAAAGGCCTTTAAAATGCAAATAATTGAATACCATTTATTTAAAGTGCCAAGATAGGCACTTCTACCTACTATCAGCTTAAAGGTACTTAAAATTCGTACTATTTTTAAGCTTTTTTTGCAACTCAAAAGGAATCCGAAATAATTCCTATCGCAACCCTTTCTCAGCCTTCAATGAGTCACCTCGAAATGGGACCAATTCCGAATTTTGCCAAACCAACTGGAATTGCAATCCCGCTGTGCGAAGGTTTTAATTGATTGAACGTGCGTTTCATGCCAAACGATCCGCATGCGTTGCGCCAATTTTCGCCATACAAAATGTGGTATCCGTATCCGTAGATAGAGCTCACTTAATGCCCACTAACCGCCTAAATCGAGCCACTAGTCTGGCCGTATCTGAATGTCTTTCGAGTGTTATCAGGCGATCAATTGCCTTCGGCATGGCGATCGATCAATGGACGTGTCGCCGGGACTAATGAACATTTGTAAGCCAAAAATAAACGATAAACAAAACGACAGAACTGAAAACTAGCCGCATATTACACAGCATGCATATCTACATACGATCCTCGACATTGACTCGATTTTGAGGGGACTAAATCACCTGATTTTATAGTGTTTGTTCGCAGGGGGGTCAGGTCAGTCTAAAAACAAACTTCTTGAAGAATTTACGACTTAGACTCGCGATTCAAGTTGAAATTTTATTACATTTTTATTGATTGTTTGTGCAACGTACAAAAGTCGAAAATTGAAATTGAAAATAACTTGAATAATTGCACGCCAGCAGCGGGAAAAGGCGTAAATGGAATCGAATGGAGTGAAAATGGAATGAATTCCCCCAGAGAATCAATTCATATATGTGTGTGTTTGTATGCCTTGTATAAATCCGGAGAATTCTTGTTTCAATTTGGCGCTGCTTCTTATGAGTTTGTTTGTTCTGTTCGCTTTTTGAGGAAGCGCCGGGCACTCGCCAGTAATTGAAACCTATAATTATAGCAGTCTCGCAGCATACATATATGTATACAGAAGATGGCGATCCCAAATACGGTTGACATAACTCTCAATTGATGTCTCAATTCGAGGGAGAAAGATCGTCATTGGGCGTGACGAACGGCTTGATTATGTTTAATGTTTAAATGATTCGAATGCGGCGCATTTTTGGCATGCCCATTAAGTTGATGTTGCTATTTGTTGCTGCCGGTGTTTAACATGCTGTCTCCGCCTGTCACTCTCTATGCCCGTCTCTTTTGCTCCCCCTGTTGCCGTCTCATTCTCTGATTGACAGCCGGGACATTCGGAATATTTGTTCGGGATCTCCTGATGATCGCAAATGTCACTTTTGATTAGCAAACGACGGCAATGATCGCAATTTGCCAAGAGGGGCAACCTGAAAGTTGAAGAAAAACGATTTAAATGTTGATCATTGGAATTGACTTTGATGGATAGCAGAATTCAAGGATGTAAGTTGTCGGTAAAAACTGAATATTAAGAGTAAAGGGGATTTTTTAATATGTTTTCTGATGAAAGGATAAATTTCAGAAGTAGTGTAGGATTTTAAAATCAATAATATAAAATATTTTGACGAAACATTTTTCTTGTACAATTAATTTGAAAAAAAGACTCCAAATTATAACACTCCAAACAAAATTTTTATCCTTTTTGGTTATTCTTTACCATTTACTTAACTTCCAGTAAGATAAATCGAGTTCAATTAACTCAACACTTAAACAGCAGCTAAATATCTCAAAGGTACCAATTTTTTTTCCTGCAAAAAATATCATTCGATTTCGATCTATGCAAATTTGTTGGCCAGCAGCTTTAATTGTTGAGTGCTCACAACCAGTATCGTTATCTGTGATCATAATGACACACTAATTGCGCTATCTGCCATCGTTAGTTGTTGGGGAATCGCAATTTTGCATGGCCAGTCACGCCGAACCGCAGAATTTCCCTAAATGGTCAGCGATACGATGCGAAGACCTTCCTATAATTACTCATTATATGTATAAGCAATATATTTATATTCCGTTTGACTCGGCTTTGGCCTGTTATCAGAGGCATGAATGAACTCACGATCGATCGATGTTAATACCCTCCAACCAAACCGAGTTGACATTTGAAAGATTTCGAGTTTCGCGCTGTCGTTTAATAAATGTTTTCATAATACTAATTAAAATTAACCGAGAACCTGTTTGACAGAGTTGCCACCAAAACGAGCGGAATCATTTAAATGACAATAAAAACATAAAATCGCTTAAAATATTACGTATACGCCTCGGAAGAAACCCCGTCTGTCTGTTTGCTCACTTATTTATGCGCCCGAGATGGAAACAAATTGCAATCGTAATTGCGCTTAAGTGGCCCAAAAGCTGCCTCCGATCACGAGCAGCGAATTCATTGAAAACCCATGGAATATGGACAGACACACAAAAAATATATGGGGAAGTACGAAAGATGATTTTGAGTGGCCCGTCAATTGTGTTCTATAAATAAAAATACCCACAGACAATTCCTTCCCCAATTGTCTCAATTTGTTGTGTCAGTTTTTCACTATTTCGGTGTGGATCGGGGAATTGCATTTAGCAAATTTGCGGGTAATTACGGAACGGTAATTGCCCGCACTTTGAGGGCATCCGTCCGAACTTCCAAACGTCCCACCGCCCTCAATGTCGTTTCGTATTGTTTATGGAGTGCCGGTGTATAAATAGCACGGCATACAAATCGCACATAAATCCACTGTGCGATCATTCACATGCTAATGCCAGTCTAAAACGATCGTTTTCGTTGTAATCGAAGTCAAGAGTCTTGCAAATTCTCATCTGGATGAGCGCAGAACCAAGGTGGCGAGATACTTGAACAAATGATCGTTGAAGTACAGGGAACTATCTTGATTTGAACGGGTTTCTAAACGGATCTATCTTTTTGGCGATGTCTTTATTGTTCCAAACATATATAATAGCTATTAAAATCTGTTGTTGTCTTTGAAGATTTTTTTGATTTTGATGTTCTCAATTTGTCTTCGGATTCTTAAGATAAGCAAAAATTTGTTTATACCTAAAAATAAATTATTTATTTATTTTGTTTAACATCTGTTCAAACTGAGAAAAAATAAATAAATTATTTAAGAGATTTATTTAGTAGATATAATAAATTAATTTATTTTGTGACAACATATTTTAAAGCATCATAAATAAAAGATACATGCGTGTTGTATTCTTAACGGAACAAACCTCTGAAGATATTTATTTCTATGATTACCTAGGTTTTAGACAGGGGTGCTGGATTGATGTTTACACTTATTTGACGTAAATTTAACTTGATTGTTTAACGATCATGCTCGAAATAATTCAGGCTGCTTATCAACCCAGTCGCGAATTTCGGCTATGTTCCGCTTTATATTCGCACAAAAAGTGAAAACCGAAACCTGCCACACTTGTTTATAGGGTTTCTGTGTGCTTTGTTTATAAGTTGGCCAGACCATGTTTAACTTTAGCTGGATTTATTTTTAGCCCCGCTCATTCCCTTGAATTATTGTCTAAACGTGTCCGAAAACAATAGCAAAGCCAACACAAAAAAGTAAATATAAAAGAAATGTCCCAGCTTGAATTTCTGGTATTTGAAATTCTTTCACAAAGCGTCGACAATTTGTCAAGTGCCTTATCTTGAAGGGCTTAAGGCGTGTCGCTTCCCGAAAAAAAAACAGCGAAGACATTGTCAAGTTGTCCAACAAGTTGTGTATCCAAGGGAAATGATAACCGTTTTTTTCTGATATTGTGATAATTGCTGTTAGCCATGGGAATTTGTGGTAAGGAATGCGCACACTTGGGGAAAAAAGGTTGCAATGTTTTGGATTTGAGTGATTGCCTTCTAAAATTTGTAGTAACTTTTTTTTTGCCTAGTGCTAAAATTGGTTATCTTTTTGTAAAGAATTCCCCATCATACATTTTTTACCCAGCAATCGAGTAAACCCATCGATCGTAAATCAGTTCAGTTCTGCTGATTAGCCAGCGATTAGATTTCATAACAACCTGATTGACACTCTTTCTCACAGTGATTCATATTTTCAAAATAACTACAAATAATATTCTGTTTATATTCATTTCTGTTAATTATTATTCATTTTATTTATTTACTATTTGTTTTTATTTTTTTTAGGGCTCCTAACGTTTGTTTGACTGAGTTTTCCGTGGCGGCTGTTGATCAGGAAAGCCGCCTGGATGCGTTTCTGCTTTGATCGGCTGTGCTTCGCAACCAAGCGGCCAGCCCAAAACTCCAACAGCAATGCACCCCACTGCACCGCCATCAGCACGATCAGCACGGATGCACCACCAGCGGATGTAGATGCAGCCACTGCCACAGCCTCAACCACAACAGCACCAACGCCAGCCAGTAATCTGTTCTACGCCGAGTACCAGAAGCTGCAGCCAGCGATAATCGATCGGGACTGGGAGCGGGACAGAGATACGCGGACCGCGGCCAAGCCGCCGGACATAGAGCAACAGGCCGCAGAGCAACAGACCCAGCCACAGATACAGATACAGGCAGAGGCACAGATACAGATACAGACAGAGGCACAGATACAGATACAGACAGACCCACAGATACAGATACAGACACAGATAGAGCAGCGCTATCGCCGGCACAGCAGTGCCGAAGATCGCAATCTGAGCACGAGGAGAAACGATTCGAATACTACGGAGGCGGTACGGAAAGCAGCCAGCATGCAGCAGGAGCCGAACGCCAACTATCAGTTCCCAACCGACTTGGGTCTGGTGAGCATCGTCAATAACAATAATACCAGCACCCATCCGAGTGGTAATAATAATAATAATAATAACAACAACAATAACAATCTGGTGGGTGGCATTGTGACCTTGCCGGCGGCTGGTGGTCTCATAGGTCTGGAGCATACGGCATCGGGACTGCGACTGATACCAGCACCACCGACCCACTCGGAAGTGTTGACCCACACGCTGATCTACGGAACACCGCCCTCGGGGGCACAGCAATTGCACCAGGATCCGCGGAGTTTGCTGCACCAGCAGGAGCTGCAGTTGCAGCAGCGCTACCAGCAGTTGCAGCAACTTCAGGCCCAGACCCAGGGTCTCTATACCAGCCAGGGAAGTCCAGTTCTGTACCACCAACCCAGTCCGGGATCGAGTCAACCGGTGGCGATACCCGGTGCCAGTTGTCACTCGCCCACGCAACTGCAGCCGCCCACCACACTGAACCTCCAGCAGCAGATGCAGAGTCTGAGGATCTCGGGATGCACGCCCAGCGGCTCGGGGGGATCGGCCACGCCCTCGCCGGTGGGTCTTGTGGATCCCAACCTCATGATGAGCAACTATGTGGCCGCGTCGCCGCAGGAGGAGCGCTTCATCCAGATCATTCAGGCCAAGGAGCTCAAGATACAGGAAATGCAAAGGGCTCTTCAGTTCAAGGACAATGAAATAGCGGAGCTCAAATCGCACCTGGATAAATTCCAGAGTGTCTTCCCCTTCAGCCGGAGCAGTGCGGCGGGATGTGCGGGCACGGGCGGTGGATCGGGATCCGGAGCGGGAGGAAGTGGTGCGAGTGGTCCCAGCACCGCCACAGGTGCCACCCGCAAGTCCGGCCAGAATTTCCAGCGGCAGAGGGCCTTGGGCATTTCCGCGGAGCCCCAGAGCGAGTCCTCCCTACTCCTCGAGCACGTCAGCTTTCCCAAATACGACAAGGATGAGCGGTGAGTTGGAAAAATGTATATATAAATATTTATATAAACGTAGAGTTCTGGAAAATATTTGAAAAGAGTTGGAAAAATGTAAGTATAAATATTTATATAAACGTATAGTTCGGGAAAATATTTGAATAGAGTAAAAGAAGACAGCTTCATATTTTTTCAGATTTTTTTTTATTTTCTAAATATTTCCCCTTCGCAAATATATTCAGATTTATATTCAGATTCAGATTCGCAATTTTACCAGTGAAGTTGAGACCTTTATTTCAAAGACTTATTTCAACGAACTTATCATGTACTATATATATATATATATACATATATATATCATTACTATAAATATACTACTAATAACAGATCCTATTATTAGTATTTTAATTTTTCAAGTTTGATATAAAACAGCCCTATCTGTTGTCATTAGTCAATCATGTAGAATATGACTAGTTATTGTTGAATTCTTCTACTTTAGTGATTCATTTCCTTTATCTTTGTTGTTGTTTATTTAAACAACATTATTTTTATGAATTGTATTTTTAAATGCACTGTGAATATCGCTTTTAGCAGTCATCTTTTTCTTGATATCCCCTACATTGAGCACACTGTGGTTTTTCATTAATAGCTATAGTGATTGTGTTTGGTTTGATCCAAAAATCATGAAACCTCTACAGAGAGGATTTGTAAAAGCTGGCTTTCCTTGAAAGCTTTGCTCAAGTAACCTCAGCTTATTTTAATCGCTTCTCGAAGATAAGCCCTGCATTATGGCGTTTTGGGGTTTACGGATGTCCAGAGTCTATATTTCGAAGCCGATAACGATCGGCACCAGCGTCATTGCGGCGATTTTAATCAAATATTGGGAGCAGCGCCCTGCCGCCTGTCGACGATCGCTTGTGTCGCCTGCCACAAAATGCGTTTATTAAAATTGAGTTGGGGTGACAGGCGCGGTTGCACCACCCACCCAGCATCTCACCCCCCGTCGAGTGGCCTTGGGCAGTGTCAGTACTCGGGGTATAAGATCTCTATGAATATATAAGCCACATATATGAATTGTGGCTGCCAATTGGCAGCCAACTCACGCTGCATTGCGTCACATTCGGCTTTTTCTCTGGGGGATTTTTTAAGACACTTCTTTCTGGTCATGCAAAATTCGTTGCAGTCTCTCCGTCATATAAGTATAATTAAAAGAGTATAAAATTAAATCTGTGAAATTGCGTGGGCGGATCTGTCGGCTCTGCGCTTTTCACACTTTTGCTGCCCACTGGAAGTCGTTGCTCTTGGCCAGCTTTCTCCACTTTGTCTGCTGAAAAACATAAGAAAACATAAATATTTATTCTTCGGCTATGTGGCGATGTTTCCTGAATGGTTTTCGATAATACGCCGGGGCATGTGCGATCACAGATCATTTAAATGGCGACACGCGCTGTTGAAAAATGTCTGATTCCCAAATTCTACTAATTTTTAATAGGTTTTATGGGTTATAATTTAATTTTATATTGTTTTGCATGTGTCAGGGAGGTCCATTCTTGAAATATTTTTCACAATTTTTCTATTGTTGGGTCTAAAATATGTATTTACATTAGTATTTCCCTTGGCATAAATAAACAAATGCCTATTTCCTATTTGAAAAGTATTTTTTATTCAAAGAGGAAAAGTTTTTGTTAAAATTAGCCAAACATTTGGCGGTTCTTCTATAAATAACAATGATATTGGTTCTTGTTTTTGCTTAGTTCTTTGTAAACAAATAATTAATTGTTTGAGTTCAAGGCCAGAATTCTACCTTAAAATGTTATTTTAATATGAAAGTAAATAAGAAATCAAATCCTCTTTGCTTGCATTTAAATTTTAAACTAAAGAATATTATTACTGCATCTCAACTATTCTACCAAGGAAATCTTAGAGACCTTGTTGTCAAAATGATATCGACATATGTATGATTATTTGTCATACTTATTCTCATTTTTGCATACACCTGGTATAGTCAAATCTGAATGCGTATCGGACGCTAAGTAATGCGGCAAATTTGTTTAAATCGGCCATTTTTATGACCCCAAGCCGTTGACACAATCTCAAAGAGTCGCCGGCAAATTCGCGAAACTCAATTGCAATTCAAACATTTTAATGGTTGGCGACTATTGCAGAACGAGGGGGTGGCAAGGGGGGATATATAGAGTCTGGATTTTGGAGCCGGCCAATTGAGGTCCATTTTATCTCTGACCAAAATCTGTGCCGACGGCGACTCTTGTGTGTGCAACAGGACATTTTCTGACACTTGCATGGCATAAATCAAAAGCGCCGTAGGCCTCCACCACGATATATATGTATAGATATATGTTCGTGAAATCTATGGGATCGGGATTGAGTCTGGGGTTGGTCACAGTACTTTTGTGGCCATTTACACCACGCAACTGTCGCCTGTTGGCTTTCAACGGGGCCATCTAATAAATAATGCCACAAAATTGTGCGAAATTGCCTTCGCAGTGGAGTTTCTAGGGGGGTGGTGTCATGTGGGCAGGGGCGTGCATTGGCAGGGGGTCTATACAGAACTTGCTACATGTTGCACATACACGTGTCCACGGTCAAGATGACAAACCAGGGTTTTTTTGGGAAACATGTGGGTCAGACAGTAAATGCATAATTAGAGTTATCTTTTGTGGATTCATTTAATTAAGAAGTCAAGTTGGTATTTTTCGGGAGTTATGTTTATTCATTAAAGGATGAACCATACCATTTAAATGATTTTCAATTATATTAAGAACAATAAATTAATCAAACTAAAATGATAGGCATATAAAATTCTTTTAAAATGTATAGACAATATTAAATTAAAATCTTTTACTATTTAGATTAATTTATATTTTTCAATAATATTTTATATTAACTAATTTAAATAAAACTTTAAACTTTTATTGTTGGAATTTAATTATAATATACAAATAATTTGATTTTATCTTTTTCATGTGGTTATTGAGGGTTATTAATTTCTTTCGATTTTTGAAGCAAGTTCACTACATAAAATCAAGTATTATACACTTATACCAGTAGCTAACTACCACATTTTATTTAATTTGTTTGACAACATCAAATTGGCCTGCAATTTTTCTTTTCACTTAGCCAACTTGTCAAGAGAAGTCTCCTCCCCTTCGGCGTTCATGGCATGATTGCCATCTCACAGACAGTGAACCACCTCACACATGTCCATAGATTGTACCAAATATCAAGCCCCACCCAAAATAGCTCACTTTGTGGTTGGTTTGTCGCTTCCATTGGCGCTGACTTCTATTCGCAATTTCCATTTTCAATTCCCTGTGCGAGAGCAGTCAGTTGGCTTTTTATTGTCAACTGCTCTTAGCCGCTAAGTATTTGCACTTTCAATTCGGTTTGTCAGTCTTTCGAGTCTCAAATTGAACGCACCCGCAACTGATCGACGACCGGGGATCTGCGAGATCTTTCTGGGGACAGACTCCGCGTGTTTCCTAAGGTGCAGCCAATCTCATTCCATGCCTTGGCACACATTTTAAATTCAATTTACGCACAAATATAGCCATATGAATGGTTATAGCTTCCGACAACTGGAACGCTCAACCGATCCGGCCCGTAGGTCTAATTGAAGCTATTAATTGTTTTGGCTCGCAGACGTATGTGGCACCACTGGCACCACTGGCACCACTGGCACCTCTTGCACCACTTGCACCACCGCCATTGTGCTACGCATGTGCGTGGTGCAGCAGCGAAAGAAAATGTTAATTTAGGCATATAAAAAAGTGCTCCGCTGGCAAAAACCCCACGGGGCAAACACCACAGAGCAACCCACCACCTCCGGCTACTCGTCTACACTGGAAAAATTAATTAAACCTAAATAAATAAATATAAATATAAAACATTTTAAAAGCGTAGAGACCTAAAATGGTTTTGTAAATATAAATTAATTTATTCTATGGGAATTAAAAATTAAAATAAGTAATAGAAGGCTAAAAATAATGGTAGAGACCTAAAATGGTTTTGTAAATATAAACACATTTATTCTATGGGAATTATGAATTAAAATAAGTAATTGAAAGCTCAAAATAAAAATTATGAAAGTGATTTTCGTGGCCAAAATTTCTAAGGACCTGGACTATTTATATAAATATTAACAGGATATATTTTTTGAGTGAGTTCTCCGCCATCTTCTTAAGTTTCAACTCCATTAGGGGAAACTTGTTTTGGTTTTTGTGGGGCGCTGAAATCGAATACTTTACCATGCCAAAAAACTATCCATGTTATTACAGATTGTCGCTTCCTAGACCCACTTGGTCGTGACTGGGTTGCCGATTTGACATGATTTTTTTATACATTTTATTTTAATCAATTTTAATTGTGAGTGTTATGTTTGCGTACCCGAAAATACCGCAAAGATACATGAATACCCGCCAAACGGGCGCCACAGGTGTCGGAGTCTGGGTGTAGTTGTCGGTTTTCGGCCAAATGTTCCCACTCCAATGAGCCAGGCCAACTCATCACCACATTTCGGGGCAATCAGGTAGCTGCAGGTTTCTCCCAATTCAGATCGGTTCAAGCCAAGCTCAGTTCGCTGCCAAAAACGAGCCTTACAAATTGGCCCCCAACCCAATCGACGACAGCCGGTGCACCGCCTTGGTGATTAACTTGATCATTGGGCAGCGATCAGAGGGACCAAACTGACATTTTTGGAATTCCTTAAATTATTTTTCTAGTTTTGTAAGTATTAAAAGAAATACAACCTATGTTTCTTTAGGATAATATGAAAGTAATAAGAAATACCAATATTTGAAGTCAAAGGAAAATATTTATTTTGTCTAAATTAATGCATAGAATAAATGTATTTTTTTGTGGTAATGTATTTTTTAGGTATACACATTTTACTTTTTTAAATTTATTTAATAATTTCACATAAATTTTAAATTGTAGTATTTGAAGTCTCACAAAATGTTGGCCACATTGGCTACAGTTTGGCTGGCTTTAATTAATCGCCGCAGCTCAGCTCTGGCTTCCAATTTTATCCGATCCACTGCTTCTATTCCCATTACTGTTTCTCTGGCCCGGGCCAGTTGTCAAGTTCGCTGACAGATAAAGTCATTTGACATTTACAGGCATAGCCGACATGGTATAGCATGGCATGTCCATGGATCCCCACTCCCCCGAAAAAATATAACCACCAATCTCCCTCACTCCCAAAACCGAAGCATACAATTTTCAAATTTGTATTAATTTCATATCGGTTGATTGCGCGCATGCCAACATCCATCGATATTGGGAAAAACTACAGCAAAAAGAACGAAAATGCCGCATAATTTTGGCGGCACAACTTGTTGCCTGGCTTGTAAGCCAAACTGGCCAACCAGATAAAACGATTTATATGTGTCAGCTGGAAAATTAATTGGACTCTTGCCTTTGCTCATTTCATTGACAATCTCTTGCCATTTTTAATAATCACAACTAATTGCATTTATATATCGTTTTGTAGCTCCCGTGAACTTATCAAGGCTGCCATTTTGGATAATGACTTCATGAAGAATCTGGATCTGACGCAGATACGCGAGATCGTGGACTGCATGTATCCGGTGAAATATCCAGCCAAGAATCTGATCATCAAGGAGGGAGATGTCGGCAGCATTGTTTATGTTATGGAAGGTGAGTTTGAAGTTTAATATTGTTGGGTATTTTGCACTTAGTTAGGGGTCTAGACAGAATTTATTTTGTAAAACGAAAACAAACAGTGCTTATAATGGTTATTAGAATTTGAATTAAGGTTTTCTTTTTTTCCTATCAAGGTTGATCAAGATTTTCTTAAAGACAAGGAGAAAAATACCAAATAAGTTAGAATTTTGTTTAATAAAGCAAGTTCGAACAGAGCGATTGTTTCGGCATACAATTGAGTAATTTTCAGCCGAAAAGTATGCTAAGAAATTTGTTAAACTGCAACCAAAATTGTGTAAAATGCATGTACAATTGTCGTTTCATATAAAATTTCTGATTCTACAGGATTGTAGATTTCTTATTTTAAAAAATTAAAATGTTATTTTATATCATTTTATTTGTAATCTGTAGGAGCTAGTTTTTACCACATGTTTGGTTTTGTGTGAGACACGCACAAACCTTGGTATTCATTTTAGATGTACTTAAATTTGCTTTAAAAAATCATATTTAGTCCACAGCTTTTCCTCTTTTCCCTTATTTTTTCTCTATCCCTACAAATACCCATATCGGTTCCCCTTGCCCCGCCAAGATCGTGCATCTTGTTGCCACAGATAGGCACCTCCTCCTTCGATTTGGCTAGCTGCACGTGTGTTTTTGGGCAGATGTGGAATACCTGAGTTCTGGGCAGGGATTGCCACTTGCTGTGAAAGACAAAGGGGGAGGGCGGTTTTGTTGCGGGGACTGTGTCACACCCACGCGCATAGAAGAAGAGAAGTTCAGAGTCTCCCCTTGCAGCGAAATGTCAGCGGCTGACTGTCGACTCGAACGAACAATGCACAAGCGGGTTTTCCTTTCAGTTTTCGCTTAGCATTTTGTTTAATAGTTTCTTGCACGTTTTTCTGCGTTTGTCTTGCACCCATTTTATTTCTGGGTGTGCTTCAAGCCTTTTAACTTGAGCTTCGTGGCTAATTGTTGCTTTAAATATTTGCTGGAACTGGGTACGGTTTCGCTTGAGTTCTGTGTGAGTATGCACCTTTTGTGTTAATTTAGTCGCCGTCTTAATTTACGTTAGCATTTTAATTGCAACCAGACGTCGGTTGAAGATTATTGCTCGCACAAAAGTAATAACAATGATTATAATCAACAGCCGAATTATGCATTCAGCAAGTGGCAAGATGAATTGAAGAGAGGATGCTTCCTCAATCTTGCAACATCATCGTCTGTGATTTTCGCTTCCTTAACCTGAAGCACCAATGTCCGCCACTCGAAACCGATGAACAGATGTCACGGCATCTGTCTATATATCATATAGCCGCACACACATGATACTCCAAAAAGAGAGAAATGCAGAGAGGGAAATTGCACTTGATTGAAGAAAAAACCCCGAACAGCAGATGTTTAAGAGATTTGCAAGGTTTAGGCCTTGCTGATTATCCCAGTTCCCTGAAACTGCACTCTTAATAATAAAAATTCATAAGTAAACACAAATATGTAGAGTAAATATTTTTGAGATAGTAAACCTACTGATTAAACTGTCCTATCTCGGGCCATGATGTCTGATTTATTTTAAAACCCTGTGATTACCGAATCGAAATGAATATTTGTTTGCAATTCGGCTTTGATTAGGCAACGTTTAATGCTAGTTTGTGCTGTGAGGTCACTGGACTTCTGGATCTATAAATATTTCCGCACGTTCATTGTTCCATTTATGAATTGTTACGATTTCCGAATGATAACGTTTGTATTTCTTCTGTTTTGCGTAGCGAATCGGTCTGTCACTTAGGACCAAACCAGTTCACTAGTTTGGGACTGTATACACTGAGAGAAAGAGTAGAACAAGTTTATGATAAATTAAAAATTATTTTATAAGTCTTCAATAGTTAGTATTAAACAATAAAGGCTTGTACTGGCAGACTATTATTTTTACATATATAAAGATATATACAAATCTTCATGAAATGATAATCTTCCGGAGAATGCGATAATTCCAAAATTTCTGTTGTGGTCTCAACGTTTTGTTTCTAAAAAACAAATAATTATGAATAATATAAATGAGTGTAAATGAGGGAGATACGATTTAATTTTAAGTATTTTAAATATAATTTCTTAGTATTTTTTTCTCTGTGTCCAGCACTTGTTTTTGTTCAGCTCTTAACTCGTGTGGTTGTGTGCGTACATATTGTTTTCACTCTCCCCGTCCATATACATACATATATCCGCCCGATTTCTGGCTCTCTCGCCCACAAACAAAACAAAGCGATGCCAGCTGGGCTGCTGCCTCACACTCAATCTCGTATCTCCCCCATTATCTATGGCTCTCTGGCCGCTCTTCCTCTCTCTCTTAACCGATCGCTCAGTTGCGAATGAGTAATACCACAGTATTTGGGATCCCAATCGTCGGGCAATTCGTCATTCGTCCGGCAGGCGGCGTAGCGAGAAAACGTGTGGGGCGCATGCGCGCTTGTCTGCAAAAATTGCACCTGGATTTTGAGTTACAAGAATTACAGAAAACTAAATCAAAACTCCCACTTCGTGTTTCGCCATTTCTTCGGGCCGTTCGCCGTGGTTTCTCATTTGTGGAGAAGTTTACAGTTTTATTTGGATTTTTGCATATGGCAATCGCGAGAGAAATAATAATAATAAAACCCAACATACCGGAATGCAATTGCATTGCCTCTCACACATGCCTTCGCGCTATTTCCAACAATGCTTACATAAATAGCTCTAGTTGCTGTTCTAAATAACAAGTAAACAAAAACCACACAATTTTCCCATGCTCGGTTTTTCATCGCCTTTGTAATTATGCTGCTAATAGAGATCAGCTAACGACTCGTGTTTATATCTTTGAACTGTTCGTAAATTCTTGGAATAAAGTGAATTAAAAGTGAAAGTGAATTTTTTAAATACTCGTATTAAGGAAAAAAAACTAAACGCCCACAGAGTGAGAGAAAAAGAGACAAATGTGCAGGGAATGAGACACAGAAACGATGGCTTGGCTTGGATTTTGCTCTTTTTTCTCGAATTGAACGAAAAGATCACTTGAAGAATTCCGGTTTGTGGTTTTCCTTTGCAGCTGTTGTTGTTTGTATTGCTGTTACTGCTCCGTTGATTTGTATTTGTATTATGTCTCGGTCATTGGTCCGAAATAAAAACCAAAAAATCGGCAATAATGGTGTAGAAATACAGATATTATAAAGTTTTTTTGGTTTTGTAGCCAAACCGTATAATGCCAAATGTCACTTCTCCGATTTGATCGTGCAAGAATGTGAGAACATAAATCGCACAGAGAATCTGATATGGCCCCAAAAATGAAAGAAATTCAGTTGAAAGGCGGAAGAATGTGGAAAATTAAATTAAACACAGCTAGAAACATGAAACAAAAAACCCAAAATTTAGAAATCGTGTGAAATCCCAGCCAAAGGCTGACAAAAAGAAAATGATGATCGCGAGGGCGAGGCAGAAGCATCTGTGCTAATGTCATGCCCTGGAACCGGGTCTCCACCTGTCATTTGACTTCTTTTGTCATTTCCCCAACTCAACTCGGTGGATACTTAGCTGGGGAATCAGACTCAGACTCAGACTGAGACTCAGACCGGTCGGAACTCGGAGATTCCGGGGTCTTGGCGGGTTCGGAACCGAGGGGCACTCTCACTTTTAAGTAACCCAACGAGTTTTGCATTCGCCTTTTGACATGCCAAATGAACTGGCTTCGCTTGGGCGCTCGAATGGGATTGAGTAATAGACGAAAAGTGGAAAATGATAGCTGGGTAGCCGGAGGGAGGCAGATCAAAAGATCATTGGGAAATTTAGGTCTGAATTGGTAAAAATTATAGTCGAAGCGGTTTCTAATTGATCTCAAACAAGTGGAACGAATTTGGTAGCTACTTTATAATGAATTTTCTTTGATTTTTGGAAAATAATCGCCAGCGGGAAGCAGTTTATATTTGATCTCAAACATGTGGAACCAAATTTGTAGCTACTTTAGGGGAATATTTTGCAAATGATTTTGCGGCCATGTTAAAGAACGTACAAGCGAACAATTTAATTTTAAATATGGTAAACATGTCTATTTAAAAATACCAGGTTTTCATTTTATGATTCCCAACAAACCAAATGCATTTCTTTATTTTTACGGTATTTTTTTTTTGTTTTAAGGGAAGTAACCAATTATATCGATGCCCAAAAGCTTTTTGATAGTGATTAATGGAAAGTTAATAATGCATGATCATTAACAAATATCGTTTCTAGGATTTTTTCATGGAATCTTGTTAAAATTTATTTGTTCACCTTTATAAGATTTATATTAAAGTGTTAGTTGGGGCATTCCCCAATGATCTTTTAATCTAATCAATAACTTGAGCTGGGAGAACCCTATAGATCACATCAGAATCTTGTTTGTCAACTTTATCGCAGCTTTGAGTTTTATTTGCAAAACAAAGAGAGCTCGCTCGGTGATTGCTGGAATAAGGTTCTGCGAAATTGATATAGCTGATTTTCAATCTCCTTTCGATCTTGCTTGACAACAATCTAAATTGTATACACAAAAGATCTTTCTCCTCTCTGATCTTTTCTCCCTCATTCATCCAGTTTTTATAACTTTCTTTAAAGGCGACTTTCATTAGCATAGACAAATAAATGAGACGTCAGCTAAGCTCATTCCATATGTATTTATTATGATGACTTACAAGCGAAGTTGTGTGCTAAAATGCGGTCATGTTTTGCAAAAGGCAGAAATAATCCAAAAAGTGACTAAGCCATTGGAGTTTTGGTCTTGCCTTAATTGTCAGTCAAAAGGGCGGACCAAAAATAACCAAGTTTTGTGTGTGTATAATTACGAGCTGTCATGCAAAACCGAAAACGACTTGGACTCGGACTCGATCTGAATCTGAATCCACTGCCCTTGGCACACAAGCCAAAGTCTGTGACTAACTTTGCCTTAATCGAGGCTTCCAAAACCCTGCTCTGGAGATCCGTTAACTTCTATAAATAGCTGACTCGAAAACACAGGAAAAAATATCTAAAAAGTTGTTTATCACAGAAACAAAATAATATCAAAGCAAAGATCTAATTTGGCATAAGACTTTTAAAAAAGGCATTATAAGGGTTGGAAGTAAAATGGGTTTTAAAATCATTTTTATGAAAAATTAATAATACTCGGGATATAAATAACATTTTTTCCCATCAAAACTTGGCAAGAAAATTGATTCTTTCCTACGATTAACTTCAATTAGGTGTTAACAAAATGGGATTTGAGCCATTATCAGACTATTAATGATACGCTTTTCCCCCAGTGCAAATTCGCTTTAAGCGAATTCTTGTTTCCCTCCGCAGTGCGATTGTATTCAAATCAGCGAATCAGACACTGGCTGACCTTGCCAACACTCAACATCCAACAACCATTAAGACCCGAAGCCAGTCACTCTGTGGGCAAAATTGCAAAATGTCTGCAGTTTCAATTTGTACACATTTTTTCTCCTTTAATTTTTTGTTTTTTTTTTTGTTTTGTTTGGGTGCTCAGCTGTGCTTGACGGATTTCCGCATTTTAAAAAGCCAGCAAACCTCGACCCCGGTGAACCCATACTTGGCAGACCGGCCCTCTCCATTGGAAAACTTAACAATTAACTAAAGGGAAATTTGTTTTTGGCCAGCAATCTCTGCCAGTTGCGTTGTTGCTTTTCTCTTATCACTTAAAAAAAAAATCCGAGGCACGAGTTGTTCTCACATGGAAAACCACGTAGTGATAACGCGTTCTCGACTCTCTCTATTTATCTCACAATAATAAATTTCTGTGTGCCAGGCAATTCGTTTGCTATTAGTTACGAGAATAGTTCAACAACACCGACAAGTCGGTCTTTTGTTTACTGTTTGATTGATCATATTCAAGGCGCTAAAAGCGATCATTGTTTGGTATTTGTGTTCGCCTCTGGTAATTGTTGCTCGTCGCCGGTGTTTGTTTAGTCACCGCTTCCGATTGTGCGTAGTCGTGACAATCGAGCGTTTTCAATTGGATCGCAGATGTTGTGGAATTTTTTTTCCGTGGTTTTTAATAATAGTATGTTGTGTGGGAAAAAGCCACACGGTCTGGATGATATGCTGCCAAGCATTGATGATATTTATTTTATATGGAAATTTAGCAGTATAGTAGTTCAAGAGAATTCGCTTGTTATGATATAATTTCTTTATGTTTAGGACAAGGCAAGAAAATTAATAACATCTGGCAAAAAATTTGTATTAAATGCATGAAAGAATACATGATTCCGATATATTTCGGGAAATTTATTCACACTAGTCAAAAGCTCTTTTTTATAAGGGATTATTCCATTTAAGTTTCATTAGGTTTTGCCTGCAGTATTATAAAAACCTGGCTCATAATGTTAAACAAAATTCCAGACTTTCTAATTTACTCCGCGCATTTTTCTAGTCAAGCATGCCCTTTCCAAGTGCCCATTAAATATTAACTAAACTCAACCGTAAGCAAATATTTATCCGTCGATTTTGTTCATCTCTATTCCAATTGAACACACCCCTAATAACTGAGTCATAAAATACACATAAATATGGCTTCCAAGATCATTTGCGTCAGTTTGCCCGATCAATTAACGTAAATGGATCCACAATCGTTTGGAAATCCCTCGGAGTTAACAACTCCCTTCCAATTCAGAGTCACGCTCCATTTTTCGAGCCCAGCACCGATGGTCACTCGTTTTATTTTTGGTTTCTCTAGGTCGGCCACTACGTCATTTGTCGGTTTTGTTGAACGCCTTTATTGTTTACCTTTGGCAATATCACCAATTCTCACTTCCCCCTTGGCCGCGTCGCCCACTTTCATTCACAATTGGCTAATTTGCCGATGATTAAGCTTTCGATGCATTCGCAAGTGGAAGAGGTGGAAAGTAAATCGCGACTCACTCATTCACACGCTCTTACCAATTGCCCGAAATTAATTTGCAACTGAAGCTAATTGCTATCGTATATTGTATCTAACTCTCCAAATCCGCTGAAGATTGTGGTTTTTTCAATACACAATTGTAAAAAAGTAAAAGCTATTTTTATAGTTTTAATTGTAATTTACAGAATATTGATTATTTTTGTATATTCTGTATTATCAAGAGATACTTTTTCTTTGGGAATAGAGTTATACACCTTCTTACCAATACTATTTTGAGCTTGTCAAAGTTGGTAGATTAAGTGGTCATAAACAAAATCAATGCACAAACGTGAGGCTATTGGCAAAAACATGGAAAGTTTACAACAGCGACGACGGCAGAAACAGCAACTGAAACAGCAAGCAACAAAGAGCCAACAAACGTGTGGCTCTTTTGCAATATAAATAACAAATACATTTTTGTTACCACCATCAGGCCTGAAAACCATCGCCTTCGCCCATTCCCTGTGACTCGTCAAATATTCCGTGCGCGAAATTTCAAAGCTTGGGTTATGCAAAAGACCCCCGAAAAAAACAACACAACGCCCCAACAACAACAACAACAGACAGACAGATAAATAAAAAACAAACTAAACGGAGAAGTGAAGATAAACAGGGGAAAAAACAAAGCACGTAGCTGCAGCTGGTCAAGTGAAATTTTTCTTTCGTAATGAAAATCAAACATTATCCGGGCAAAGCCGTCGACGCGAGTCTTTCGCTGGAGGGCACAAGTGCAATGGGTGCCCTCTACGAGGCCAATTGGCTAAGGGCTGCGAATCAAACGCCCCCGTCCACTGGCAACTCCAAATTGAGTAGGCAAAACAGCTCCGCAGGCAGCGGTTTCCTCATCGAGGGCATCTCCGCATTGAGCAAGTACCAAATGACCCTGGAGAATATCAGACAGTTGGAGCAACAATCGCGGGACAAACACATTGTGAGCACAATCAAGGAGCTAAATGGATATAGGCCATCGGCATTGCAGCATCATCAGCAGCAGCAGATGCACAATGGCTGGGTGGCCGAGGATCAGGAACAGATCGATGAGATCGAGGAGGAGATTGAATCTGCGGAGGGAAAGGAAAAGCTGGTTAGTCTGCAGGAATCCGCTGCAGTTAACCACTATGTCTTGGATCCCACGGAGAGACAGAGGGTTCCTCGACCACGACAACAGTTCTCGGTGAAACCGCCCTCGTTGCGTCGCTCTCAAACGATGTCGCAACCGCCCAGTTATGCCACCTTGCGATCACCACATGTAACGTCCAACAAACCGCAGAATCTCAGCAACAGTTCCTCCTCCGCCTACTCCACATTCTCCTCCGCTGCCGAGGACTCGCAGGATCAGGTGGTGATCTGCCAGCAGCCACAGAGATTGATGGCTCCGCCGCCCAGAGAACCGCCGCCTGAGCCACCGAAAAGGGTATCGAAGCCACTCAGTAGATCCCAGACCTCCGTGCAGAGATATGCCACCATTCGGATGCCCAACCAGGTCAACAGTAGAGTGGCCAGGACCAGGGATTCCACTGCCTCGCTGAGACGCCATAGCTTGGAGCAGGCCATCAAGGGACTCAAGCTGGAGGAGGAGAAGGATACGCATCCAAAGAGTCCGGTCAACGAACAGCGACAAATCTCGCCCGCTGCCAGCAGTAATGGCAGCTCCAAGGATCTCAACGGGGAAGGATTCTGCATCCCCCGACCGCGTCTCATCGTTCCAGTGCACACATATGCCCGGCGACGAAGGACGGGAAACCTCAAGGAGCAGTCCAGTGGGGGGCAGGACGAAGAGGCTGAGAAGGACGATGGTAAGGGGGTGGATTCTAAAGGATTCTACAGGAAATCTCAACATAATTCGTAATATCTATCAACTTTTAAACCTCTTCAATTTATAGTTATGAGTTTCGACTCTTTTATTTATCAGCAACTTGTGACTTATTATTTTCATTTAAATAGACAAGTAAGTTAAAAACAAGTTAACATAAAAAAATAATCGAGTCATATCAAAAACATAAATAACTTTTTGTATTTAGATAACAAAAGTAAGGTTTCAAATAAAGAATACGTATATTTATTATAAGAAATTCTTATTACTATAACTGTAAGGTTTTTCTGAAGCTTTATTAGTTAGAATTTGTTTAGGAACTTATTTCCCAATTTGTAATGATAATAGGTATTTATAAAATGATTAGAAATGAGAAAGGATAACAAAACATTATTGTGATTAATGGATCTTCTAAGTTAGGAGGGTGTACTAGAGTTCAAAACCCTTTTCCATGTTTACCTTATTAATTTTTAAAATTTTCTCCACAGATGGCCGCGTGGAGGTTTCCCGCGAGGGCAAATACCTCTCGACCCTTTCGGGGGCGAAGGTCCTTGGCGAGCTGGCGATCCTGTACAATTGCCAGCGGACGGCGACCATCACCGCGATCACCGAGTGCAACCTGTGGGCCATCGAGCGGCAGTGCTTCCAGACCATCATGATGCGAACGGGCCTCATCCGACAGGCGGAGTACAGCGACTTCCTCAAGAGGTGAGTAGCCAGGCTTTCCATTTTGGCCGCCCGACGACCAGACTTCCCCATTGCCAATCGGCCATTTAATGTGCATTTTAATGAGCCCCTGAGCCTGTGGCGATGGCGAGATGTTGCCGACTGGTTATTTGCAATTTTGGGCGTAATTAATGTTCATTTGCACTTAATTATATCAATTCCGCAGAGCAGTTCGTGTAAGGCCATTACTTTATAATGGCAAATGTAAAAATCGCTTAGCTTAAGGATTTTTTTTTGTCTGTTTTCCCGGTCGATTTGTGTTTTAAATCGTGCAAGGTTTTTCGAATAAAGTAAGGTAACTTTCTCCGCCGGCCCCATCGACTTCGGCATCTCTTCAGATCCAATGCATCATTATGGCCATCTCGTCATCGTCATGGTCATGGGCGGCCATATGACGTGCAATGGCTTGGCTCAAACAGAAAACAGAAAACTCAAACTGAAAACTCACTTCAACTAAACTTCAAACTGCGGCCAACGAACGCATAGAAATTTCTTTTCAAATGGCCATGGCAACCAGTTTTTGGCCAAGTCTATGCAGTCGGCAGCTTCCAGTCAGTCCCACTTCCATCTCCACCAACTGCTCCTGCCCAGAGTGACCGGCAGATTAATCGCGTTTAATTGGTCGTCCGTAAAAACTGCTAAAAACCATAATTGAGGCCTCGACCATGTACTCGTTGCCTATTCCAGATTCGAGAAGTAGCGGAAAAAGCGGATGGAAAATGAAAGTGCAATGGTTTGATGACGATGATGATAGATTCAGATACAGATACGGCCAGCTGCAACTGCAACTGCAACTATAGATTCAAGATACATGTGTGCACCATTCACTAACAAAATGCTAGCCAGCGGGAAAAATAGAATAGGGAGGAGTTGAGGTTCGATTATCTTGGTTTACAGTCGAAGAAAATGGTACATGAAATTAAGAAAAAAATCTAATTTAATTATATTTAGGAAATCAGCGGAAACAGGTTGACTATTCCTTGAAATCATACTATTTGTTTCTTACAATCTCTTATGCCCTAAAATCTGTATTGTAAACTCCTTCTAAATTTCTGATAATTAAGAAATTTAGGCAAGTGTACAGATAAAAGATATGTGAGGTGCAGAGGAAAAAACACATTGGTAGGAGTCCAGGTGCGACTTTCAGCGACGGCTTAAAGATCGATGTAGGTCAGCAATAGATTCCCATTACTGTGGAATTTTCTTATCTAGATCGAACTGGGCTGGGCCACTAATTATACCACTTTCTTTGGCCTGCAGTGGCGATTATCTCGAATGAAACTTACAATTTTTGGTTTCCTTATCTTCCGTCAGTGTGCCCATCTTCAAAGACCTGGCGGATGACACGCTCATCAAGATCTCCGATGTCTTGGAGGAGACGCACTACCAGCGAGGCGACTACATTGTGCGCCAGGGCGCCAGAGGCGATACCTTCTTCATCATTTCAAAGGGCAAAGTGCGGGTGACGATCAAACAGCAGGACACGCAGGAGGAGAAGTTCATTCGCATGCTGGGCAAGGGCGATTTCTTTGGAGAGAAGGCTCTCCAGGGGTGAGTTATACATTTCTAAGCTGTGGTTTATTCCGAAGCTAATTAAATTACTATTTGTATAGCGATGATCTGCGCACGGCGAATATTATTTGCGAATCCGCCGATGGCGTCAGTTGTCTGGTCATCGATCGCGAGACCTTCAATCAGTTGATTTCCAATCTGGACGAGATCAAGCATCGCTACGACGACGAGGGAGCCATGGAGCGCAGAAAGTAAGCGTATAATTAAAAACAACACACGAATCAAGATTAGCAATGAGGAATTGAAACAACCTAATGAAGGTCAATGAACTTGCTCCAAATCAAAAAATCTATTTACATGTTGGGATGTATAATTATTTGATAGTCAATTGAAGCAATACAAAATTACCACATTTATTTTGACTTTAAGTAGTAGCTGCTACACAAATATTCAATTAGGGTTTGAAATCCCTTATTGAAATTGTTTTTTAATTGAAATGTTAGTTTAATTGAATAATTAAGTATTTTCAAGTCTTAAAGACGAGATAATTGGTCTCCATAAATGTTAATATTCATTTTGCAACAAAAAAGCTTCAATGTCGAATTTAATACTTTGTAAATTGACTAGACGAAACTCTTCATGATTAGGATTTATTTATCCATTAACTAATAATTTCACTGCTCTTACAGGATCAACGAGGAATTCCGGGACATCAACCTCACGGATCTGCGCGTTATTGCCACTCTGGGAGTGGGCGGATTCGGTCGCGTGGAGCTGGTCCAAACTAATGGCGATGGCTCCAGGTCCTTTGCCCTCAAGCAGATGAAAAAATCACAGATCGTGGAGACGCGACAACAGCAGCATATCATGTCCGAAAAGGAAATCATGGGCGAGGCCAACTGCCAGTTCATCGTGAAGCTGTTCAAGACATTCAAGGACAAGAAGTACCTGTACATGCTGATGGAGAGTTGTCTGGGCGGAGAACTCTGGACGATTCTGCGGGACAAGGGCAACTTCGACGACAGCACCACCCGCTTCTACACGGCGTGTGTGGTGGAGGCCTTTGATTATCTGCACTCGCGGAACATCATCTACCGGGATCTGAAGCCGGAGAACCTGCTGCTCAACGAACGGGGATATGTGAAGCTCGTGGACTTTGGCTTTGCCAAGAAGCTGCAGACGGGCAGGAAGACCTGGACTTTCTGCGGCACCCCGGAGTACGTGGCTCCGGAGGTGATCCTCAATCGGGGTCACGACATCAGCGCGGATTACTGGTCGCTGGGAGTGCTCATGTTCGAGCTGCTAACCGGTGAGTGAGGGGAAGATTTAATTGATTGATAATCTTTAATTGACTTACGTTTTACATTTATAGGTACCCCTCCGTTCACGGGCTCGGATCCAATGCGCACCTACAACATTATACTTAAGGGCATCGATGCCATTGAATTCCCTAGGAATATCACGCGCAATGCCAGCAACCTGATTAAGAAACTGTGTAGGGATAATCCCGCCGAGCGTTTGGGGTACCAGCGTGGGGGAATTAGCGAGATTCAGAAGCACAAGTAAGATCTACTCTTCAATTATTTAATGCCCATACTAATATGCTAATCCCGCTTAGATGGTTCGATGGCTTCTACTGGTGGGGCCTTCAGAACTGCACCCTGGAACCGCCCATTAAGCCCGCCGTGAAGAGCGTGGTGGACACAACAAACTTTGATGATTATCCCCCCGATCCAGAGGGTCCTCCACCAGACGATGTCACGGGATGGGACAAGGACTTCTAGGCGGGAATCAGGTCTCGTTTCCTAGACGATGCTCTCTAAACGCTTCTGCTACAGAATACCGAAGGGGATAAAAACCAAGGAGGAGAAATTGATCTTAAGTGCGCCATATGTACGCCAAAGCCAACAGCAACAGTCAGCAGCTCGCATCGAAAAGCTGCCCAAAACTAAGAAACGTAGCAGTCGCAAGGCCAAGGGCCGACACAAAAGCACAATCATCCATCGTCTTAGCCCTTTTAGATTTATAGATACGTCTGCGTGATGTTATTCCCATGATGTGCAACGCAATGAATTTATTAACGAGTTTATAACTATTATTTTGTAATGAGGATATGTGTCTAGTTCGTTTGAAATTGATGTAAATTGTAAGTAGGTCTTTGACTCTGGTTCAGAGCTCTGTTAGCCATGTGCATTGTATAAATTCTTTTTATTTGTATCTATTAAATATTATTAACATAATTATTAAATATCATTGTTAAAGTATCAAAGCACTTACGAAAATGCATACAAATCGGGTTGCCTTATAGTCTGTAAGAACATTTTAAAGCAACATCTGACCAAGATCTTCCGTCATACCCACTAAAAACATTTGTTAAATTTATAACTAGCCTCTCTTCTATATTTCATTAGTCTTAGCGATCATGTCTATTATTTGTACGAATAATATGCCCTTTTAATTGGATTTTTTAAGTAACTCAGTTAGATATTGAATAAACAAATTATTGCTATGAATTCTACGGATGGTATTTTTTGCTATATATTGTAATAGATAATAAGTTACATATGGAATATCTATTACTACGTCATTCAAAGCACACTTTGTAATTTATTTAAGTGCAAAAAGAAATGAACAATGTGTAACACCATGTAAAAGCGATCCACTCAAATTGACCTTATCCAAGGTACTTCCTATGTTTGCGATTCTCTCTTGCACACGTTTTCACTCGAGTGCACTGCACTAAAGAGTGCGGTGGAAAATATGCAATAAAAAGAGGAAACACTGAAATGAAAACGAAGTTGGCCAAAAACAAAACTCAACTACGTGCCAAACGGAAGAAGAACCAAATCGTCAGACAGAGAAAGCTGAGAAGAATCTGTCAAATTGCAAGTCAAATTAACTGAGAACATTCTGTGCCCGACGTTAGTGCAGATCGCAACGGAAAACTGAAGCTCCTATTCGTAAGAAACGAAAGTCTAACAGGAAGATACAGTGGATAAACATTCCGGAATTTTAACGGCCTGTATATATTAATGAATTAATCAGAATGGCCTTGACTTCGACCTGGAGTCAACTTTGGCTGGTGCTGCTCTTGGTCGTGGGCCTCTCGCTGGGTTTACCGAGCCTGGAAAATCATACGCAAGATCAAATCGAACAGGTGATAGGTGAGCTATATGAAATCAAAGAGTAAACATATTTTTAATTGGCTTAAAAATCATAATACGCGGCACTCCGCAAGTTAGAACTACAAACATCTTGGGGAATTAAAAATAATTATTTTATTAAAAAATTTGATTCGCATTTTATGTAAAACTTAACAACTGAATCTCATATTATTACTTTTCCAGCTTGCAGACAGCCCAAGGCACCTGGTTTGTGCCGAGGTCGTCAATTGCGATATGCCTACAACAAAAAGACGGGGAACTGTGAGAGCTTCTACTACACGGGCTGTGCCTCCACTGAGAATAACTTCCTGACCTTCGAGGAGTGTCGCAGGGACTGCATGCAACGCCTGCGCTACTGAAATCCTCTTAAGCTATGCCTAATATATATTTAATGTTACAAAAATTGTCAAGTAATTTGGTAGACTAAGATCTCTTTGGTTTTCTGCCAAGTTTCTGTTTGGCAGACGTAGATGGGAATCTTCTGCAAAAGTAGCTTAAGGTGATGATCAGAAGAATTGCAGGGATCAAAATCAGGGCTACACTATCCAGTGAGTGGTAGATAAATCCATTAAGTTCTATGCCTGGGGATTGGAGAAGTTCGGCAGAAACTAATCCATGTTGGATCACATGTTCCACCGACCAAATGGCCGAATCCAGAGGAGTATTCTGGCGGTGATTAAAGATCTTTGAGATCTGAAGAGCTCGTAGGGCGTAACTGTAACAAGAAAATATAATTTTAAGTGCTTTCTTTTTAAAAAAGGTATTTTAAATCTACCTTTCTTTACTCAGCTCAGTGAAAACTTTCCTTAGGTTTGGTTGGTTAATATCTTCATAGTCCAACTTTAGTCCCATTCCTCGATTTTGTACAGAAAATGCATTTAGGAATTGATCTCCGTAAATTGGAGTGACTAGCATGGGTTTGCCGCAATGAACCGATTCCGTAGTTCCAAGTAAGCCGCCATGGGCCCAAAACAACTTTACTTTGGGGTGACCTAAAATAGAGTTGAGTTTGAAAGTCACAAATGTAAATGGCCCTAATCCGGTTTTGAATCTATTTTAACTGGTTTTTTGTTTACAATATATAAACCGGGTTATATAAAATTACTCACAAAGAAGAGCTAGTTGAGGAGCCCATTTCACAAAAAGAAATTTAGATGAATCTGTTTTTGGAGTCTCATCTGCCTCCCATTTCCAAATTACTCTTAGGGGCTGATTTCTTAGAACTTCCAGTATGGCTTTTAGCTTATCTTCATCGATGCTTGAAGCCCGAACCATGGAGCCCCAGCTTATAAAGATGACTCCATCGCTTGACTGACTGAGAAAATTGGTGATATTCTCTGGTAATTCCTTTTCCGCCTTTGGAGTGATGTGCACCCCGCCAACTTCCACGAACTGCAGGGATTGGGGGCGACTTCCCATCAAGGAGTAGTGTTGGTTTCCGAAAATAAAAGCTGTTTGGGTGCGAGCCACTTCCTCCACGTCTATTTCCACTCCAAGATACTTTCGTATTAGTTCGTTGTCAGCCGCATTTGAGTGGTATTTGTAGAGGAACTTTAATAACTTGGCTTGAATAAAGTTAAGTAAGCGCTCATGCCATTTCAGTTGCCCGGCAAAGCCCACAAATTCCGATTGTATAAAGGCAGGTGTATCTGGCAGATCGATGCGATCGTAGTAGTAGGGCATGAGTGCACACGTACTCAACCCGATGATTGGGAGATTCATTAACTTGGCCAAGGCCAGTTGGCAATCTGAGTTGAAGTACTCAGTGAGTAGTAGATCGTAGGGCTTGGCTTGGTGCCTTTCGATGACCCTTTCAATGTGTCCACTGGCGAAGAGGTGCTCACACGTCTCCTGACCCTCATCATGCAGCGCTATATATTCCCGAAGAGTACTCCCAGGGATCGGGTGGGAGTATTTTCCGTGAGGGGAACCAAATTGATGGTAGTCCGCGACTGATCCTCTCCAGGCGCCGAGATCAGCAGTTCCTCGTAGTTGGGAAAGCCTTTCGCTTGGGGATTCTTCACATACGAGATCACTGTGATGTCATGTCCACGCTTGGCCAACTCATTCAGTATCGGCATCACCACTTTGAAGTGGCTGAAACCAAAGTGCGGATAAACGGCCAGAACATTTCCACCGAATATCGGCGTGGGAATCCCCAGAAGCCATAGAAATCCAATTAACACTCCGCTGCTCACCCACGTCGTCATCGTTCCGTACTTTTCCACCGAATGAATCGGTTACCCAACGTTCGGATCCGATAACCTTATCTGCCATTGTTCAGTGTTATTCCAAAAGTTATGGTAATTCAAAGTGTTTGTTGTGGTTTCTGATTGGAGAGTGCAGTTCCTGCACAATGCATCTGCTCGGCCTCCCATGGAATATTCCAACTGGAACTGCTATCGATAGCAATATATATCGATGGGTAAGCAAAAAAAAGAGTTGGCTTTGCGGCAGAATTAAGAATTAAGTTTTCAATATTCTTTTTACATTTGGTGCTTATTAGCCTCTTGTTATTAATTCACAAATACAAATATAATAAAAACATTCTTAAAACCATCTTATATATGTCACTCAATTTATTGCCAGTTTAAAAGAGTACACCTTCCTGTGGTTTTTCTGTTGCACAGTTTTGGGATGACCAAAATTTCTTGGTTTTTTTTCTTCATTTACTTTGCTATAATAAAGAAACAAACTGATGGATGGAAATAAACTTGAACATTCGGGAAAAAAAAACAAAACAAAACGAGAAAAAAATCCTACTCTGAAAGTCAGGAGTTTTAGACCGAAACATAAGAGATGTATTCGACTAACTAAAAACGTGACATACGATTACGTAGGACCCCTACAAAAATGAAAATGTAATTTTTCAAAAACACCTAAAAACGTTAAACGTTGTAAAATAAGCGATCCACGGCCTTTCGAGTTCATTTGGAAAACTAACATTTTTGCCATCAGAGGGCCCAAAAAAGTATGCAACATTTTCTTAAGGAAACTTTTAGGGCCTCGGCAGCCATTAATCGCGTTGCCAACCAAGGCCATCAGAAACTGCTGCGCTCAAAAGTATGCTAAGAAATGGGAAACTTACTGCCTTCACTTAGAAGCCATTTAATTAAAGTAATAATTTATTTAAAAATTGCAATTTGTTATCTTTATAATTTAGTATTGATCGTTTTAGAAGTTTCCTGGGAAGTAAATTATAAACAAAAAATTACATACATTACAATTAATTTACTTACAAAATTTGTTCGTTTTGTTGTAAATTGGATAAAATAAATGTTGATCCAGGTTTTCTACAAAATACATTTTTTTCGCATTGAAGCAGTTTTCAGAAGTTGTGGATTGTTAAGTAAATATTGAATACTATATTTTGTACATTGTTTTTCCCAAAATACATAAATTCAACTTAAATTCATTATGAGTTTAGAATAAAACAATCATAAATTGAATTGATCTTCAGTTAAACCCTTTTAATTAAGCGTGTATCGAAAATCATAATTAGTTGTCACTAATATTCCTAATTTAACTAACCATTTTGAAATCAGTCAAGTGTTAACTTGAGTCAACTTTCTCGGCTTCGACTGCAAAAGGGCCTCAAGATATTTGACTGGACAATTGAATTGCGTTGGCGATGCGGAAACACGCCCTCAAAACACAACGATAATGGACAGTAGTAAGCGTTAATTGAACCGCAAGCCATGTGGAGCGATAATAAATGCAATTGCCAGTCGAAATACAGCAAAGGATCCAAAGAATAGTCGCCCAGAGACACAGAAACAGTTACAGATACAGATACATTTGGCAGCTGCTGCAGCTGGCTGTCTGTCAAGTGCACTTTGCACTTTGAGCTGCTGTCGTCGGTGGCTGGTTTTTGGATTTGAATTCGACTTTGGGTTTAGGTTTGGGTTTGGCCATTGGGTTCTATCGCTGGTTTTGGCCGGGTCCGTCTGACATGGTCGCCAGATTAGTGGCCGTAATTTGAAGTGCCTGGCCCTGCCCAGAAATGCACTTCGAGAAATGTACTAAGAGAATTTTAAGGAAATACCAAATAGTAAATCAAAAATTGAAGTTTTTTAAACTTGTTTAGAAGAAAACCAATTTTTTAAAAAATGTTCTAAATAAAAAACATATATCCAAAACCTATTTTTTTTAATATTACCCGTACAATCTTTAAGTACCTTAACAATGTAGTTTTGTATATGAATTTGAACCAAACCTCATGCCTTTAGCAAAAGGACTTTCTTGGAGATCATATTTAGTAAACCAAAAATTGAAGTTTTTTAAACTTCTTTAGAAGAAAACCAATTTTTAAAAAAATGTTGTAAACAAAAAACATATATCCAAAACCTATTCAAATCAATTTCCAAGTGCGCTGCATTTGGGGACGGAAGACGAATGTGCCTCTGGCATTAGCTGCATTGAAGGCATTCGATGATGGCTCGTTAGGAAATTGGATTGTGGGTGCTGGGTGGTTGGGCAGTTGTCTTTTCGAGTGGCTCCACTCAATCTAATGGCAGTGGGCGTTGTATCGACCCACTTCCCAGGCCCTGGCGATGCCGATTGGCTCTGGGCGCAACAATGTCTCACACTCGATAGGAGCCAGTTAACGCTAAGTGTTTTCTCGGTAAGTGTTCCTCTTTTTTTTCTCGATAAAAATTGTGTAAAATTCCAGCGCAAGTAACAGTTTGAGCAAATTGTATTTCGACAAAAAAAGGGGGGCAATTAAAAACGAACATTCCGGGCGATAAAGTAGGTGCCCATGGGACCAATAATATTTCAACTGAGTGGTTCTGGCAGCTCGGCTGATTCTGGTGGCTGTGAGTGGCTTCGATCGGTAGTTTCGGTGCGACTTGACGCCCCCATTATAAGCCTAGATTGCTGATATTGCGTCCAACGGATTGAGCTCTGCCGTATGCTAATGTTTCTGGTTCTGTTTCAGTTGGGAAATAGGCTCTGTTCGGGAATCTGGGCAATATCACGGGTCAAATACACATGGGAACGCCCCGCAAAGCCAGGCACTTCTGGTTTTCGGTTATCGCGTTTCAATGGATCGCCTGGTTCCCAAGTCGAGTGAAAAGTGGCCGTTTTTCAGTCCCCAAAGACTTTTAGTGATTTTTACAATCGTTTTAACACTCTTCAAATAATTTCTTGCAATCTCGTTTAATCATTGATTTTAATATTCGATTTTTGTTTCTAAAAAAACTTTTGTTATGCCCATTTTTCGGGCATATTGAAAATTAATTTTGAAAAAGAATTTAAAAGTTAGGACTTCTGAAGATTTTTTAGTATTATGCCGTTAACAATAATGCCGTAATTCTGTACTTACTGTATTCAGATAGGTTCTTCAGATTTTCTTATAAATTACATATTTCCCTCAAAAGTAAATATGAATTTTCCTTTACGTCAGTTAATTTATTGCTATTCAGAAACCAGCTGACGTGAGCATCTTTCCCCGATGCATATATTTCCCCCCAAATTGTTAATTCCCGATCCAAGTCAACGTTTTTGTGACGCAATTCAGAAAACACACGCCCACATTGTTCGACTTTAATGGCCGGCTATTTGGTGCGAGGTCCGAGGTCCTTTTTATGTGGCCCTCTCCGCAGGACTTAATTAGAGCGCTGTTTGCACAGATTTCAGCATTTCAGGATTTCGCAGTTATGATCCAATTTGGTTCGTTTAAGGACACACGCCCGGCTCATTTGTTTGCCCATTTGTCTGGCTGTTTACTTCGATTGTCGCCTGAGCATCGATGGCCGGGATTAGTAGGTAATCAAAGGAGGACACAGGACATGGTGGAACACATCGCAGGACATGTGTGCCCAGCGGGCGTCGTTCAGCAGACAGCTGCCAAGGACTGCGATTGGGAGCAGGACCTACTGGAGTCCAACAGTGATCCAATTAAGGTCCGGTCAAAGGCAAACAACACACTGTAAGAAAATGTACTTTGTTGATTTGAGAAAAAATGGTATTTTATATTTATGTATTGATTTATACTGAAAGTAGTCAATTTATAGAAGCAGAATTTGTATTTTTTGCTCTTTGATTGTATAAAACTGACTTAAAAAGGATATTATTTTACCCTAATAAGCAGTCTGGATATTCCAAAGAAATTACATAGGTAAGTATGTACCATAAACAATGCATTTAATGATCCTGATGTTAATAGCAACTGTAATAAATAAAATAAAGTCAGGATTAGTTAAACAAATATACTAACTAAATGAAAATGTTAAAAAAAATACATAGGAATATGATCAGAAATTAATAGCAATGTGTTTTTTAAATCAATTTCATTTTGTCCTTATATTTTGTGTACAACGAACCAAAGTGGATTGTATCATATTTATGGTTTCAAGGCCACTCATTGTTTTTTCCAGTGCAGACCTTTCCCTGGCAACTGGAAACTCGTGCCTCCGGACAATGACGGGTAGCTATCTGGGTAGCTATCTGGACTGAGGAACTGAGGAGGACTGACAGCAGATAACTAGCCAATCTCGAGTCCGAAATGCAGTTGCAGTGGCGGTCACTTGGAGCTGCAGTTTCCTGTCCCCCGTTGAGTGGCGAATACCGAAAACCAAATACCCAATGCAGAATGGCGAATGCCAAGGGGCGCATTAAGGTGAACTGCACGAGCTACTTGAATTGGGCTGGGTTTTTGGCCTGGATCCCCACTTGTGGGTGCCACTCGAGGGTTCCAGCTGATATAAGCAGCTCCACGGACAGACAACCATCGATTGCTTATCGGTGGGTTTGACTTGAAGAAGCTCTTCTGGTCGGGAGCTTAGCGGCAACAAACATGCAGACGGGAGCTTAACTGCAACTTGTCGTACTTCTCGAGCACTGCGATTGCAGTTGATAAGCAATCATTTGAATAGGCTCAGAAAAGTATAGCCAAGAGCTCTCTAATCAAAGTTATGCACTGAAAGATTGTGGAAATCAATCGAATGTTGATAGATAGAGCGATAGTGGTAATCTACAAGAGGGTTTGACGTGCATTTCATATTTTGAATATGGCTACTAAGATAACTTTTAAGTGAGTCATAAATAAATAATAATTAAATGCCTTTAAATTATGAAGATAAATAAGACTAAATGAAAAGTTTAGGTCCTTACATGCAAAAAAAGTTATTTCTTTGGCTGTTCGTATTATTTTAGTTAAGTTAGAACCAATTTATAGCAAAAATCCGGAAAAAATCAACTTGATTTTCGGTTTTTTAATCAAAACCCTCGGAAATAATGGGCAGATCCTGGAATGTCACACCTCGTTGAATTCGTTACAAAATTTCCAATCCAATGGTATTCTCATCTAAAAAATTTATTTTTTGACCAGTTTTCTCAAAAAATACAGTGTTACCCCTTATATAA